TTGTAAATATTATGCAAAAAACAGTTTCTGAAAACAGTTCGTTAAAACAGTTCTGAACTAGTTTTTACTATCTCTACACAAGTAGTTTTTTATTTTATTGTTGTTTTTTTTGTTTTTTATACCATTCAGGAATTGTTGTTGAATAATTTTAAAAAAATATCTTTAAAGAATATTTTATGTGTGAGGGTCCATAGGAGCCCTAAACCACAAGGCTACTTTTCTAAGTGAAATTGGAAACTCAATTATGCTGACCCCGCCAAGTTCTCCTTGTAATTAAAGCATGCAAACTTCACAGCCTTTAGTTAGTTACATGGCTGTGGCCTCTTGCATTGTCCATGGAAAGTATAATGAAGTGTGAAGTTGAGGAAATGTTTTACCATGATTCCTTTAAATAAAACGATCTGTGCATGTGAAATATCAGTAATAATTATTTCAATTTTAACACTTGATGTCAGAATATGACATAAACTATTGTGCAATAACGGCATCCCTTTACGTTATACAAAACTAGTTCTCAGAAATCAGCAATGATCGACAAACGTGACGGAAATGCATTGTCGGCTGTTTGAAGTGTATTACGTAAGATTCATTCCTGTTAATTTTGTATTATCTTATTTAATCAGAAACATTTCATCGTTTAAACACCTTATGTAATGGAAAATTAATTTGGACAACATTTCAGTTAAACAAGTAATGCGTTGTAACTTGAAATAGGTAAAACCTGAGGAATCAAAGACAGAAAATATAAATAAACTATAAACGGACATAACCTTGATAGATTTATGGTTCAGCAAACAATACGAATTTACAAAAAATAAAATCTTTTTAATCCAAAATTCTAAGACAAGCAGAATGATAAGAATATCAAGTGATCCCTGATACTTAACTAACAAAAATGTACTACCAACTATTAATATATAAACTTCATTCCAGTTTCTTTCATTTCAGTAAACTTCATGGATAAAACCACGTCGCTCCCCGGGCAATGACTTCATCTCCCACAAAAAAATTAAATTTATTTCTTCAGCTGTTTTATATTATGTAATATTTGAATTTTGTTTCATTCAGCAATTCTCTAATACAGTTTTTTTATTATATACTAAAATTAATTATTCTAATGCGTTTGGTATTTTATTATATTTCTAACAAGTGGCGAGCGCCCCTGAAGATCGACCGGCAACACCAACGGCCGCCCTTTCAGAACGGCGCTCCTGGGCGCCACCTGAAGGCCGGCACTGGATAAAACAACAGACTCAACGAAATGGCTGCGGATGACATGTTTATTGAAAGACAAGGATCTGGATGAGAGACCTTTCATTAATCAAGACATGGATAAGGTGCTACTGGGCACTACCTATCCCTTCTATTGTTTTTCAAATGCGAGACAAAGACGAGTCTTGGTCTTGCCTACTCAGTCTTGGTCTTGCGCATGAGTCTCGCAACAGTCTTGCAGTTACCTATTAGCTTACCTCTATAGAGATATTACTGCAATTTTTCAGATAGAGGCAACCTAACTTATCCCGAATGAAAAGTTGGATGAGTTAAATGCAAAATTATATTGTTTATACCAATTCTTTACATATAGTAACTAAAATTTTCAAGTATTAGTTTTGCCTTTTTTTATTTTTTCCCTTAATTTTTATTCACAAAAACAATTTTTTTCGACCATTCTTGGTCTTGGTCTTGCAATAGTTAGACGGTCTTGGGGCCATTTTAATCCTTTCCCATCCCTGAAATGCCATAATCATATTTTTTTAGCGCCTTCAATTACTGTTTCTTTGGCAGGTATGAATAAAAAAATGAAGAGCGGGGGAGGTTGCGACAAAAACATATATTCACAATACAGTTATTATAATTTTGTTTCACATTATAATCATTATTTGCACATCTAATAAATTTCTTTTTGTGATTTTATTTATTTTATGTGGTTTAACTGACTGGTGTGCATTTTTTATTCACACTATATGGTGTGTTTTGATTAACTTGCATTTATTTTTATGATAAAACATCTGTATTCGTAGAAAGGGATGCTAGTCCATGTGTGTTTCTAGGTCAAATGCATTTTTATACCGTATTTATTTCTGTTATAGTGGCTATTTCAGTCTATTTTTGTTAAGCTAATCTGAGTTTCCAGGAATCGAATATTTCGGTAGGAAGTTTATTTTAGTTAGTTTTGAATAAAATAAAAAATGTTTGCATCGCATAAATGTATTTATTTCAAAATAGTAGAATCCCGTGGTTCATATTCTTTGAATTCGGATTATTGATGTATATTTTATACAACTGAAGAGTAAAACCTGTGTACCATCTAAGGCTCTGAATAACCTCCGAAACTTGCGAAGAAAAACAAAACAAACAAATGACTTGATAGAAAGCGGCTTTACTTTAATTAGTTTATAATAATAAAGTTTCTTGAGTTCACAGTATGTTTTAAAGCATATCAAGAAATCTTAAAGCACTTAAGTGTAAAAATGTTTTTAATTATTTTTCCGGCGGTATAGACTATAATAATAATAATAATAATAGTTACGTTCACAGCCGAAACCAGTCATTTATAAATTCACAAATATATCGAACTATTATATACAAATAAGTCCTCAATTCCTTTGTAACTTCTAACCGGGAAAACTAATGGCCGTATCAAGACTAGTTTTTGTTTTCATTATGGTACATGTTTTCACGAAAAGTTAGATATTAATAAGGTTTTAGCGATTATTTAAATCTATAAAAACCTAAAAAAAAATAATTTCAGAATCGTTGAGATTATATCTGAACTGAGTCATGGAGAGCGGGAGGAGAGTGAGCGGAGGTTGCCGGGAAGTGATGCCCCAGCGGCCGGCTAATGCAGCCCAAGGACGTGCCCGGCATCCCCCCAGAGCTCTGGCCCCAATTACAATCTATATAAATCTCTTTTCCACTATGGCTATTGCCCCTTCCGTTCAAATCCCTTTTATTTTACCTCTTATTACTTTTGCTCGACATCGGATTACCGGTGGCGTCGTCTGCAGTTAAAACCGTGGTCAGCGGGGGTGTTCTTGTCTGTGCATCCTCCCAGGACATGTATAGACTTAGATGTATCAATAATATGAAAATAAAATTTTCGCTTCTATATTGTGTAGTAGGATTTTCTTTCCTTAAGCCAATTTGGTGGCTTAAAATAAACTATAAATATTAATTTTAAAAACTGTCATCTGACTATAGCGAAACCAGAGGAAGTGTTGTGTGTTTTGGCCAGTTCACACGCTCCGTTTTGCACAACGTTTTGTCTGCGCAGTCTTTAGACGGAATGAAAACGTTGCAATTTTTAGAGCGTCTACACGGCACAGACATATCTGTATATTTTGCTCAGTTTTGTATGAGATCGTCATGGAGGAGGTACTACTATTAGCAATATGTCTTGTTAAAAAAAAAAAAAAAGATTGGAACATCTAAGAAGTACCCGGCATTCAAAGTGGCTTTTTAAAAGGCAGCACTTTGTACCGTTGCATCAATTCAAATTCATTTGCTAAAATTTCATACGCCTCCCCTTCTAATTCCTGTATTCTTTAGATTTAACACGCCAAATGCACGGGCAACTTTCATACAGAGCAATAAAATCGGTTAAAAATTCCCTAGAACATTGTCGAAGGTCAGCCATTGTCGCCTGACGAATTGTACCTGATTAACTAAATGAATCGAAAACGGTGCAGTTCAAGGAAATCTATGCTCTCTGGCTCAGTTTTATAAAACTGTACCTTCTTTGAAATGGATTCAAAACTGCACAGTTTTCACACGCAACGTTTTGAACTGCACAGACAAAACGTTGTACAAAACATAGCGTCTGGACCGACCTTTTGCTTTGTCTGCTGAAAGGTATGTAACGATTTTTAGCGAAAGGCTGGATATTTTTTTTGATTTGATATCTTAAATTATTCGTTGAGATCCCCTGAGTGTTTCGAAACAAATGGAGCTAGAAACACTGATCTGTCATTAAATAAAATGCATTCAAGCTGTCAGTAAAAAGGTATGTAAAAAAAAAAAAAAGCTCTCTTCTTCGGAAGTTATTTGCTAACTTTATAGTCCGGTTCACAAATTAATCTGAATCCTTTGTAGCATTCATAGCGAAATTACATTTTCACTATTATATGAGTCTTTCAGTTGATAGAATGACTCCAATTTCAATACTTTTTATTATTAATTGTAGTGATATTTCTAGTAGAAAAATGTATACCTTTATTCACAGTTCTATGTTTTAACAGTGCAATCACCTATTCTGGGATCCAACTTACTCTAAAAAGTCTAGGTAGAGAAACTACCTATATTAGATGATCACGAGGACGTCTGCTTTTCAGACGTCTTGGAAGTTTATCTGCACCGAAGAGGGAGCATGTTTAAAAACGGGGTTCAGATGGTTCTAAAGTTTATTATGGAAGGATAGGCATCTAGATTACTGCAGATCAGCAACACGTGGGTCATTTAGGTCACTATGGATGATTTTATTTATGGCAAAGATAGTTGAAGTGATAATTTTACGAAGGATTTTAGATAGTAAGTATCCAACATAAGAGGGATTCGATGGTTTAGTGGATCTTCAATGCTCAAATTGGTCTAAATTTTCCTTAATGCAGTCATAAATATATGTGTTTTTAGTAATTAATTGGAAGCTTAAATCGTTTTTAGTAAGTTCTGAAGTAGCCAAAAACTTTGAGCGGTTTCTATATAGATATTATAAATTTTCCAACTAGAATTATAAATATCACTAAATATCATTCTGTCATGATAGAAATAGAATTCACGACCTCATACAACCCTTCTATATCACAATGGGATTGTGGTTACATTTACATTTCCGTGTACCTCGTTGTATGTATGTAGGTCTGCTCAGGTTTAACTGAAATCCATTCAATCAACATACATGCATTAAAGATTCTACGATTCGGAAGTGGACTGTAAAAAAAGTTGTAAAATCGTGAGAGTGGATGGGATGAGGCTAATAAAAAGGAGGAAGATGGGACTAAGGAAATGCGTGCCCGAAGCGGAGATATGGATTGGGCCATCCACAATGGCAGGTGCTGTCCTCTACAGGCAATTACGCTGCTTCTTCCTCTTCTGGAATTAGACATGGGAACTGGGAACCGATCCGCGTCTCGGGTTCCGATTCTTATTAACTGGAGCTACTTTTTCTCAAGTCTACAGCTGGCAAAGTTAAATAAATAAATTGGTTGTCACTAGAGGAAAATAAATTTCTCCTGCATCTTGGATTTTCCAGTTACTTTCGTAGGGCTAAATTGAAGATTCACGGGCGTCACAGCAATTTCACTGGAATAAAAAAAAAACTTCAGAAACTGATATGTTTATTTTTAGTCATGACGTTATTGCATATACATATTTTTAGCTCTTTCTCATACACTTTTATTTTTATGTACATTTTTTTCAAAGTGGAAGTGTTCATCGTCCAAATAACGGTATACGTGATTTTTTTTTTAAATCTAGTTAAATCAATAACATAATTGGCCTCTATGTTTTATTAAGTGAAAACTTCTCTAGATGCGTTTTGCACTTTTTTTAGAGAGTGAATTAGATTTAGTCATCACATCTCTGATGTGTAACACTCTGATAAAATCGGCTGGAGTCGATTAATTCAAGATGTTTTTGTATATGAATTAAAATATCTCAAGAACTAAAAAATCGGACTTGCATATTGTTAACAAGGAAAACGTCATTATTTCGTCCTCTTTGTAATGAGCTATTATTCTGAATTGTATCTTAACGTTTCAGAGGCAAAAAAAGGAGAAATAGTGCCAAATAACAAGTATTACAAAGATATGGACTAAACAAGATAAGAAGTAAAATAAGCTTATTGAAATAAGTAAAAATGTCTAAGAAAAAATAGCAGACTCGTAATGACCAAAATAAGTATTAATTGAGCAAAATGAATAAATATGTACAACCATATCCCTATGTGGATGTATTCACGTATTATATTACTCAATTATGTTATGTATTCAATTATATTACTGATCCGTTCTTGAACCTGCTGCAAACCACGAACATCCACCTCCTCAGCCAACCGCATGCCCAAGCTAATGCATGATGAAGATTATAGCCGTGCAAATCATTCCACCTCTTGCAACTATTACTTAGCCCCAGTTAGCGATAATTAGATCCACCGTCTCAGTTATACCGACAATATGATAATCCTCTTCGCCTCCGTGTAATTTAGCCAGGCGAGCTTTTAAAATTACATTACTCCTCACTGTTTAATGTGCCACTCTAATTCCATTAAGTGCCTCTTCGTGAGGCAGTGGTCGCAGTTTTCAAACTACGCCTTTTTCCGATTGTGCTTTCGCCAGCGATTGCTGACGATTTGATATTAATATTCTTCCTGTGTTTATTTGATTGCTCATTCATTATTTCATGTTTTTATTTTTGATAACTGATATGTTTAAATGGCTATATCTGAATCGGAATTAACAAGTTAGGCAAAAATAAATAAATGAAACCAAGCCATATGGACGAATATATTTTTCATCATAACAACATTACTACAAATGTTCTGGTACCCCAAATTATTTATTTATTTAGTAAACGAATGTAAAATTATTACTCCCTGCTTCTTATTTTATTGTTTTCCTGTACTTGAAACAGGCCAACCAAAGTCTTCTTTTTCAAAATGAACAAATCCTTCCAACCAGTTTGAAAATATACGGCTTAAATTATTATTTTTACTCTCACTTATCTATACGTGAATTTTACTGTAAGGGAATGTATCGCGACCATGAAAAATTTCATATCCCAGTTTTCAACGGAAAGATAGAATAGAATAGAAAATAATTTTACTCTGGGACGAAGTTCCTTTAGAATAACAAAAAAAGTACAAAATTAAAATATTATATCTGGCCAACTAAAAACAAACATAAAAAGAAAAAATAAAGAGAAATAAGTACAGAAAATATTAGTTATACATAATATATACCAAAAAAAAAAAAAAATCTATAGACAAAAATCTTGAAACCATGCCAAGACACTTAAAATTATGTACAGTGGTAAAATATAAATATACACTTTTAGAAAAAATAAAATAATAAATTACATTCTTCTTAACAGTAAACTCTGTGTTTCTGTTGAAAAAAAAAGAAAAAAGAAAGTCGAATCTGATAGTAAGTATTTACTATAGTAAGATACGGTTTGAGTTTCCAAAACGATTTTTATTGTATTTTGATTGAACTCCTGACATCGATATTAAATCAAGTAATATATAATACGAAGCAGGTTTTATTTTTGTTGAAAAACAGTAGCGATCATTGAAATTGCATCACTAACAAAGATCCTTTTTTTATTCAACAATTTATTAACTAGTAAACAAATTTTAATAGCTCAAAGTTGTGACAAAAATGGTTCCTTGAACAAATAAAAAAAAATGGGCCATTGTGTCTTTTACCTCGGGGGTACATATTTAGTAAACAAATTTTAATAGCTTAAAACATAGGTGTGAATCTGATTTACTTACTTTAATTCCATTTAGCTTTTATCTATTATTTTATTTTTTTTAGCTCAGGCATATCAACTTATTTTATTTTTTTATATTTATTTTTCTTTATTATTGAAATATTAATCGTATTTATTTTGTATTTTTTTTAAAGTTTTGTATTTTTTATTTTGTATATGTGTATTTAAGTTTTGTATTTTTTATTTATTGTTTATTTTGTAAATATTGTGTGAATGAATCATGTAGCCTTAATATTAATGTCCTTTAATGTGGTATAATGTATTAATATTCAATAAAGAAAGTACTCCCAAAAAAAATAGCTTAAAGATATAGAAAATCTCCCCTGAACAAATAAAATATGGATATGATGTTCTTTACCTCTGGGCTACAGATATATGTACTCAAGGTAGAGAGAGACGTGGACGTACCCATGTCTATATTTATTCAAATATCTTTTAAATAATAAGTTTTTTAAGATACTAATACAGAATAGCTCAAGCAATAGCTCTGAATAACAATAAAATGTTTCCAAATGTATTTTCCAAACAATAAAATGTTGATTCCAGACAAAAATTTACTGATACTGAATAAGGGAAAATACTCTGGCGATAACCAAAGTATCGGGTGGAGGGAATTTTGTTCTCCTCTATTTTACATCTTACAACGAAATCGATAGAAGGCTAGATGAGAATTTAATGCATTATCAATAGGGAATGTTTTTGCCCCGACTGTTTAGCGACGAACCTTTCCCTTTGGAGCTAATGGGATTTGACTGATGGGCTTGTTATCATTCATCTTTCCCTAGCTCCGGCAAAACTACCCCTTGAAGGCCAATATATTTCATTAGCCTTTGTTGTTCCCGTTTGGGAAATTTTGAAATATGATCTACCTTCAACATCCTCCTTTTTTATTTATTTTTTTTCATAAAATTTCCAATTTTTCTAGCTAGAAAGCGAGGAGAACTCTGCTTGTCGGGATGGAGAGTTCTCCAGTCACGCTGAAGAGCCAATTAATCTGGAGTGCATGAAACAGAAAAATAATATCCGATTATTTTTAATGTAAATACTTTATTATGCATTAATAAATTATTTATTAATATTTAAGCAAATGTTCGCATACTCCTACAGTCAACGAATCGGAGGCAGTGAAGACTTTATAAGTAATGCTTTTATTCATAATGTCTGTTACAAATGGCATTTAACACACAGAGTCATATACTATGGATATATGGGTTGACTACACGAGTTCACTCCAGGTCTGCTACAGTGGAGAGTGCGACTTCAAGAATGTAACTGCATGAGTGATTTGGTCCGAGGATCATGGGGTTTATACCCAAGAATAGCAAGGGGGTGAAGGGAAGTCGGAAGAGGACGGCAAAGGAAGTTGTCGATAGTTCATATTCTTAAGATGAGGTCTGTGAGAATGTGCCTTTTTGCTGAAATTGTTCCCAAAGTCTTGATAATTGGTCTTCTGTCCAGTCGGTACATTCTAGATTACTATTTCTAAGCTTTCATAGATAGCTTGACCTGGCTATCTAGGTATGTTTTGTTCTTTTATCCTTTGAATAATGAGAAACGACAATATAAAACATAATTCACCAATTGAGATATTTAACAAAATAAAAGTTAAATTAATATTATTATTATTATTTGTTACGGATTAAGTCCATTCCGTAACTCTATGATGTCTTGATCGTTGGAAGGTCTCCCCTGAACATTAAAGACGCGTCTTGGAAAATTTTAACAAAATGTCTCTGACATGGAGACTTCGAGTAAATGAAGAGAAGACAAAGAATATAGTCATAAGAGAATACAACTTGGTCTATTAAAAAAAATAGTACAAGATTACCAATAGCTTCTCACACAATATCACCAATTGTAAATACCTTTGAAACCTCCTTAATGTGTCCTTGGATAAGGAGGAGGAGATCAATGTTGGAACAATGGCTACTAATGAATCATATTGCGCATTTCTTAAAAGTTATATTAATCATCACAAAACTTAGACTGTGTAAAACTTTAATAAGACCAGTTCCGATCATCACGTATGTGAGACGGATGTTAAATGAAGCAGCAACTAGGAAAATCGATTTCTTCGAGCGGACATTATTAGGAGATATCCCGGACCCAATAAAAGATAATGTGAGGTGCCGAAAAAATAATGAAATTTATCAAATATATGAAGTTCTGAGGATCTCAAACTTTTTACAAAACAAACATTGGAGATAGCTGGGTCATTTGGTCAGGAGAATGGTAGAATAGCCAAGAATCTGTGCACTTGCCATCCGGGAGGAGTGAGAGCTCGCGGAAGACGAAGAGATTGATATATAAATCTCGATGATTGATAAATATCATCTTAAATTTGATATTTGGAATTGCGAATTTCTGCCATTTTGGTCTGGTTTGTCTTGTAACTACCCTGGAGAAGCCCAGTGGTTATATCATACGTTTGTTAAGGTTCAGGATTCTTAAACTACTTGGAAAAAGTATATGATTTTTAAGAGAAACCGTGGTCATAAGGTGGCTCAAACTAGGCGATGTTGGTTACTTAATTTATTTTAGAATTGTATGGAATACAGAAAGAGCAAATCACTTCTCGTTTCTCGGAGTCCAGAAGGATACTGATATCTTCTTCAGGCCCATTTACAGCCTAAATTTAAATTTATTAAATTTATGGGAGGAAAAAAGAATAATTAAATACGAAAAATCATATCAAAATAGACGGAAATTGTATATCACTATATATATATATATATATATATATATATATATATATATATATATATATATATATATATATATACACATATATATATTAAAGCTGAAGTGGTCTTTCGGCTAGAATAAAAGAGATGGATTACTGTGGTCCAAGACGGTTACTGCGGAATTATTGAGGTTGGTTAAACGTAGTATGGACCACTTCCTCCTCTATTATTACCATAACATCAATATTAAACCGTAGAACTTGTCTCTTCAGTACTTGTTATGCCGCTAGTATTATGTATTTCTTTAAATTAAGCGTGATTTGTTTTCCTTTGGGTGATTTTCTATAGAATAAAATAAACTTTAAAAATAAAGGAACTTGATAGGGATAGATTTAGTTTTAGATAAAAATATACAACATAAATACTATAGATGCTTTATTAATATATTTTAAAGTCGAGAGATAAATAAAGATATATTTGCTTCAGAAAGTAATTTTCATACGAAATATATGTCTTATGTAAATTAAAATATATCGGTATAACGATTTCCGAAGTATTTAAATCAGATAGTTATATTTATGATGGAATGTATATTTTATATGACTGAATATTTGATGCTGTTGGGCAGCTTGTTTTCGTAACATCTGACTTTGAAAGGTTGACTGCCTTTGATGTGGCAGACTGATGGTTTTCAACACAGTTTTACGACGGCTGGCATTGGTCCATGAAACCCCCTGACCCCTACACAAATCTTTGCCTTCAGCGGTTTGTGATTCTGCAACAGGGTTTATTTTCGCCTAAATCAATCCGTCTGCTGTCCAAACATTTGTTTCGAATTGAAGTGAATTTATTTTAATTAAAAAAATATATAAATTAAATCGGAAAATTTAAAAGACAAGATTCATTTTTATCTTTACCTCATGTACGGATTTAATGTTTTTATGTCAATAGTTTTACTATAAAACTATAAGCCTTCGACTGGTGACACTTTATATACGTAGGCGAGCCTAATATGTTTGCAAAATAGAATACCCTGACATCTAGTATTTGATCAATCAACTTTGCTGGTCATAACTCTTATTATCACAGGAAATATTAAAAAACTAGAATTTATTTTATTTTGCTATACCCCTTTAGAATCATGAAAAGTAAACAAAAACTTAGACGATTTTAAGTTTTAACATTTTTGTATTTGCCTTGATGTAATGTCATACTTATACGAGGTATCACTTATAAACTCCGAATTGTTATCTTAAAAAATCCAAAATTTTATTCAAAATGATCTCTATCAGTCTTTCTAGTTTAAGTTACATTTAATATTTAGTTACATTCAGTGATCATCTATCTAGAAATATTCAATTAATATCCAGTGTAATTTCATCTTACAATGGCAAAATATTTTATTGACAAAACATAAGTCTCAAAGCTCCCCCCCCCCCGAAAAAAAAATGAGATGATCTCTAGACGGCTCAATCATACTCTTTCAATATAAAGCACTTTAACTAGGCCAGAAACGACTTGTGGAACTATCCTTCATTTTATTTAATGAATCTGATAGACATATATGGTAAAAAAGACAATTATTGACTCCATTCAGGCCATGTTTATATTTTAAAATTACGGAAAAGTAGTAAAAGTATTTCTTTCAAATTCTTACTTAATTTCTTTATTGAGATATATTACAATTTGTCACATTCAAGGACAATGGTAATAGTGATAAAGAGTAGCTCATTCATACTATGCACAATAAATAAAAGTAATAAAATTATACTAAACGCAAATGTATATAAACTAAAAGATACTAAACTAAACAAAAAAAACTAATCTAAAAAATAAATACTTAAAAACATACATTCTTTTATACAATATTTAGAATATTCATTCACTCAAGATCTCCGAGCCAAGCCTTTCCCCACACTCGTGGAGGGAAAGGCAGAACTCTAGGAGATCCCAGCGTCTTCCACTCAGCCGCATCTACGTAGATGCAGGAAGGTAGTCGAATAAAATATTCGGACAATATCTGTGAATCTATGAATTGGGAAACATTTCAATTTCTGTTTTTCTATTACTCATTTTTTCAATTTCTGTATAATAACATTTTTTAAATATTTAAAGTTAGAAAATTTTTAAAACGGCTTTTTCTGTTTGACAGGGAATTTTCCTCTCTTTTTTTTGTAACTGAACGTTTATTAAAGTGCTTATTTGTTTTCCAGTTAATTATTAGGTTTCATCTTATCTCGGATATCAATAACTTTTATTTTCAATCTAATTAAATATATAATTTGAAATAAACTATCTTGAAGTATAATTCTATTTTCTTATTTTCTACTTACTTATTTCCCAAAGTTCCCAAGAGCAAGATTTGGGAAGAAAATACAATTTAATGAATAAAAGCCTAGACCCTAAATTAATAATTGTTTTCCTTTCATATATGTAAATATTTTTAAGAAACATACTCCGATAAACTAACAACAAGTTAACATGGGCGATCTTCTAAGCTATTTTTTTAGTATTGTATTTTTTTGCGACTGTAATATTTTCTATATCTACTGTAGGCGTTTGTTTTATCTTTAATATACTTTTTTTTTTGTAATCGTATTATATGGTCTACTAGCTGAGCTAGAACTAGATATCAAGATTATTTAATAGTCTGTTGCGTAATATGTCAAAGCTGATAAACTTTCCTAGTTATGTTCTCATTTTTTTGTATTTATTTATTTTTTTATAAATAAATGTAGATTCTGACAAACACTTTTTACGCAATTCCAGTAATATTTATTAATATCATGTTGTAATGTTATGCATGTACAGTTTTTGTACCTTAAAAGTATAATCACTTCAACTTTGATAAATTAATAAAAAAAATAATTGATCTGCGTGAATTTGTTGCATATATTAGCATATTTTGTAATCCTAATTAAATTAAAAATTTTTCTTTGATTTTTTTTCTGTTGTTAAAATAAGATCTGCTTACTGTTAAAATAAATAATATTATTTTATACTATTTATGACAGACTTTTCTACACATTCTATTTTATATGTGCACATGGTATATTTCACATATTCACATGTAGTCTAAATTTATTTACCTATAGGGTCGATTTTTTAAATCAGAACATTGTTTATGTTTCTTATTTACATAAGTATGTATCTTTCAAGAACTATAGAAATTAGGGTTGTAAAATAAATTTTGATTTAATTTTTTTACTTTTTGATATTAATGAAATTAGATTAGGATTCAAACAGACCACTACACATTTCCATGCTATCATATATTCTATAATATAACATATATTTCAATTTTTATTTATTTTTTCTTTAA